CAAAATGTGAAATCAAAAACAGAAGAGGTGGTTTAGGCGGTAGAGGAATCACTTTTCATACTCTCTTGAGACTCCCAATTAAGCTGTTAAATTGTTTCCGAATGGTCTAAGGACTAAACTTGACAAACAAGTAGGACTAATGTACTAGTATTCCCCAAACTGACCGGGTTCTGCTCTAAGCAACTGAGAGAATAGGCTTAATATTGACTATCGGCCTCAACAAGTGTCGGAGAGAAACCAGTTTTAAATTATATGATAATATAAATTTGACTTGGAGTCAGCGGGCTCCCCAGGTCCCCAAATCATGTTTTGATAGAGACTGGGAAACACACAGCATCCACATTCATTTCTAGGATGTCTTTCCCTGGACTGGATGATTTCACTTCACTCAGAAGAGAAAATATGACTTAAATCAGGATTTCTGAAAAGCTGCTCCAAACAGCTGGTATCGGTCTGGTGATGTTTTTAGTCCAAGATAAAATGAGAAGAAGAAAAAAGAAGAGTAGAATAAAGTTAAATCTATTTGATTTTATAAAGCTGTCTATTTTTTTTAGTGTTACTATGCTCTTTTATGAAATGTAGTAAGAAACGGGTGACAATGTTTGTTTTGGCTACAGACGTTTATATACGACAACCCTATAGATATCTCCACATTTTGTTTTAAATGTACAGGTCTGTGAAACGCAAAGGTCTGGTCAACACCCACTAGAGAGACCGTGCTGAGCCATGGTCATGCCGACCCTGCGGGACTGGCTGAGCTTGGCAGTGAGCGCAGGGGTGCCATCAGCCAACCCACCTCCCCACTCACGGGACAGTACTCCCTGCCCCTCCCTGCCTCCCTCACACTCTCTCAGAGGACCTCAATCAAGGCTTCAGGAGAATTAAAAGCAGTTCCACTTCAGAGTCTAGAGACCTCTGGACATCACCCTCACCAATGGCAAGCACGCCAGGGAAAGAAAGTAGCAGCAATGTGAGCCTCAGAAAACCTGGTTCCGAGCATGGACCCTCCTGCTCACCAGCCCCGTCACCTCAGGCAAGTCATGTAGCATCTCCGAGTCACAGTCCTTTCTCTTCTGTCTAAATACCACCTGTCCTACCCATTCAAGGGGGCTATTGTAAAGAACAAATAACATACTTATGGGGAAGTTCTTAATTGGTGAAATCATGATTACGTATGGGCCCAGGTACCAACAGCAATAACTGAAGTGGGCTGGGACAGGAAAGCCATGGCGGCCATTATCTCACAGCACATGGCACTGAGTTTGGGGAGCAGCAGGGGCACAGAGACCACAGCAGAGTGGAGGGGCCAGGACCTCAAGCTGAGGGCAACTCGCCAGACACAAGGGAGGCCTTGCAATCAGAGCTTCCGATTTCCTCAGAGAAACCAGATGGCCAGCTTCCCTTTGTATGTTCATGAAAACTCCTGATTATTGACATGTTAGCAACTGTTTTAACAACTTTTTAAAAAATATGTTTATTGGTTTCAGAGAGGAAGGGAGAGAGAGAGATTGGAACATCAGTGATGAGAGAGAATCACTGATTGGCTGCCTCCTGCACGCTCCACACTGGGATCGAGCCTGCAACCCAGGCATGTGCCCTGACCAGGGATCAAACCATGACCTCCTGGTTCATAGGTCGATGCTCAACCACTGAGCCACGCCGGCTGAGCTATTTTAACAATAGGGGGCATCCCTGAAAGGCCATGTCTGAGGGCCAAACTTGGCCCTGAGGTGCCCTTTGTGACTTGATGTGCACATTTATCCCACTGCTCCTGTGTTCAGTGGGACACTCAGGGCTGGGCCTTCCCAAAGACTCCCCCGATGGCTGCTGCTCCGAATGTGCCCTGACAGTGCTTCCACTTTCCACAGTTCTTCATGCACCTTCACGTGTGGACACTGTAAATAACTCTTCTCATGAAAAGTGAACTAGGCCTTGAACCAGTCCAGCAGGGTCGCCATCTGGGAGTCCTCAGAAACGGAACTGTCAGCACTGTAAACATTCTAGACTTCATGGAAGACACTGACTTTTTCTAACTAATTACCTCTGCCAGTCAAGATTTGCAGTACGAGTTCAAGAACAAGGCATTCATTTAACAACAATAACAAAAACAGTGAGGATGAAAACTGGCCGGCCATCGTAATGAAAGGCCTGAAAGCAAACTGTGACTTCCCTAATAAGGCGACGACCAAAGTTGGCTCCCTGGCGGGCGAGCGCCAATACAATTAATCAGTCTGTTTTCAGTTTTCTCACGACAGCAATATTAACAGTTTGCTTTATTCTGTTTATATGGTGCTGACAAGTCTTCAGCATGTTGGGCCTACTTGCTGGAGATTAATGGCTACTCCTCTACCGAGGTAAAAACCAGGCAAGGAGAGAATGCCTTTTACGACCAGATAAGAGCTGGATTTTTCTTTGCTCTTTTAATTTCTATCAAGGATGTGTAAGATCAGAAGGGCCCAGAGGTTCTCCTCACTGTTTAAACTCTTCCACTCTTGTTGTATCCCCAGGTGACACAAAAGGAACCTTGGATATTGCTTTCCGGGAAGCTTCTCATCTCTAAAGGAACTGCCAGTTAATTATTCGAAAAAGTCAGATTCCATATAAAAGTGAACGATAGGTAAGAAATGACCTCTGGCAATAGGATATTAGCATATTAGGTGGGCAATGATTCTCCTTTGTATCTATGGCTATTTTTGTAGACATTGAAGTAGGCAGAATTGATATTAAGTATGGCCCAGCCCAGAAAATCTTAGACATCTTTCACTAGTCAGTAAACATGATTTGAAGTCATTCAAGAAGACCAATCCCCATACTTCTCCCCCCGCCAAAGGCTGTAAAAGAATGCTTGTTACTGGTATATATTTTACTCTGTGCCAGGTTGGAAAGACATGGTAACCTCAAGCCTATAAATACAGAGAAACTACAATAACAAAATTAATTATTTGTGTGTGAAGTGCAAGATATTAGAGAATATCTTATAGAGCAATATAATGAACCAGATTTGGGCAGATCCTGAATTCCATACTTGTTATTTAATAATTTGTCTTGTGCGAAGGTTCAACTGGGAAGAAACAGATAGATTAGACAGAAGGATACTGCAGTATCCTGAGACTAAAGCAGGTGCTGTACTGGAAGTGAGGAGGAGAGGACAGATTTGAGACTTATCCCAGAAACAGAACCAACTAAATACATCTTTTTGACTGATTAGATTTGTTATTCAACTATTTTTAAGGGGTCTGGATGGGTTAGACGCTGTGCTAAGTAACATACAGGGGAGTAAGGAAGAGAAGAATCTAGAGATGACTCCTTTCTCAAAATCAGGCTACTGGCCACTGTTCAGTGGTCTGAAGTGGCACCATAATACCCATTGATCCTCCCTCTTTCCTTCCACCTATCCATCCGATACTTAGTAAGCACCTATCTTGTGCCAGGCATGCACTACCCAATGGTCATGAACAAGTCCAGAGAAGAAAAATCAAGGGAACGAAAAAAGTTACTGTATTCATTCTCACAGGCTTGGTTGGGAGTGCCTTCTCTCTAGAACCTCCATTCCTTTCCTGGTGGCCTGGCCATGGGTGCAGTACAGGGTGGTAAACCACCAGACAGTGGGAACAGCATAGGTATTCTTAGTCATCCATATGGAGGGAGGATCTCCTATTTAATTTCTAAATGTGTGCCCTGATTTGGCATATTTAACCAAAGTAAAACTATATCAGAAAGGTATCTAACATAATTCCCATGTACAGATTTTAATATTACCTAAATATATAGGCTCAAGAAAAATAAGCTTTGAGGAAAGCCAAAAGGTACTGAAAATACTTTGAATGTTAAAATTCTTTTATATAGTTTAGTTGGTAAATTGGTTGGAGACATATAATTCTACTGCCTTTCAGGAAAAGCCCTGATGTTTTAGAATTAAGATGTGCCTGGACTTTATAAGAACAAATCCTGACCATTTTCTAGTGCTTTCTAAAAAACAACTAGGTAGTAGAATGACTACCACTGAGAGGTATTTTGCTTTATGGCAGCTGCCTTTTCATTATTATTTTATGAGCGCTTGTCTACATATTATGTATTCTTCACTATCTACATTTAGTTATTTTAAAAATGTCTTCTTCAGATGCCTGGGGTTATGTCAGTGTCTTTGGATTCTAACTGGATCTCAAATAGCAAACTATATCACTTTTAATACCTCCAAAACCCATGACTAATATATGCTTTGGTCATTTCTATTAAAACAAAAAAAAATTAAAAGGTATTTTTAGGGACTTATGAACACCATCAACAATTATGTCAAGTATAAGCTAGTCTGTATAAGCCAAGAGTGAAAATTTAGATGCCAATAAAATCTAACTGTAAAAGAAGGAATTTGATGAGAGCAGGCACATTTTCACTCCGATTTGATTTAGAGATCTGAGCCCGGTATGGACTTGTGAGTTCTCTGAACTCGGAGACAACAAGCTGTAGGAAGCCTGCACCAACGGGAACATGAAAAGGCCGAATCTGGGCCTGTGCATTTCCGTCCTGGCCCTACCGCCTGCATCACTGAGCAAGTTTCTCTCTCTGTGGAAAATAAGATTTGCATAACCACCTACTTATTTCCCACTGAAAAATGTTTTTAAGTTATGAAATATTTCAAACATGCTTATTTTTACTGATGATAAATAGGAACTGAAAGTGGGAAACACCACAGAAGGGATCCATGAAGAGATACTGCCACCATCATTCGCTCAAGTTAACCTACAGGTAAGAGAAGGCTTCACCGTCTCGGGAACTCGGGCCTTGGGTTAAACGCCTGCAGTTATGCTGAGATGTTATTTCCATTTTGCTTGGCTCAGTCGGATAGGGGACCTCAGAGGAAAATGTCCAAGATGAGCCCAGAGGCAGAACCACAGAATTCCAGCCGGTCTGTGCTGGAAAGGCCCTCAGAGATCATGTCACCACCCTCCCAGGGCAGGAAAGAAAACAAACTGGAGCCATCTGACATTTATGACTCTTACCTGCGGCGCAGATCCTCGGCCACGGCTGCCCGGCAGCTGAACAAATAGGCTCGCAGCGACTTGAGCCGCTGCCGCAGCCGCACCACGGTGGCCAGCGGCTCGGCGTGCAGGTACAGCATGGGGTTCTCCTGCTGGATGTCGATCAGGGGCTCTTCGTACACGTACTCCAGAAACTCCTTGGCCTGCTTAGACACCTACAAAATCAACGTCCCCCATCAGTTCTGCTGACTCGTCCGGCTTTCCACGCCGCCTCAAACTACGAACCACAGCTTAAACATCCCAGCCAAGTGAAAAGCCCAAACTAAATATGAAGTTCATCTTCCTTCTCTCTTCTAGAAACTTAACTGGTAAAAGTATCCTTGGCATTGAAAGGAATGCATTAATTCTATATCCTGATTACCTGGATCTACACACGTGATATAATGACACAGAACTACACAGACCCAGTATACACCAAGGTCAGTTTTCTGGGTGTTTTTTTAATATACTTTAATTATTTAAGATGTAACCAATGGGGAAAACTAGGTGAAAGGGATACAGGACCACTGTGTACTATCTATGCACTAACTATCTGTGACTCTATAATTATTTCCAGAAAAAGGTAAAAAAAAAAGGGGAGGGGAGATTAATACTCCCTGATTTTAAAAATACATATATGTATATGCGTATGTATGTATGTGTATCCTATACCACTTTTTTTTAATTAAATATTTATTGTTCAGATTATTACAGTTGTTCTTCTTTTTTCCCCCATAGCTCCCCTCCACACCCTCTGCCCTTACCGCCCCCCCCCACTGTCCTCATCTATAGGTGTACGATTTTTGTTCAGTCTCTTCCCACACCCCTTCTCCCTCCCTCCCCAGAATAGTCAGTCCACTTCTATACCACTTTTTAAAAAAAGAGGTAAAGGCACATATTACAAAAGTCAAAGAAATAACGTTTTGAAAAATAAATATGTGCAGAAGAATTTCAATGCATAGAAAACAGACTCAAACACACACTTTTATACATATATGTGTGTGTGTGTGTGTATTACAGAGAGGAAGTATAGGAGAGGGAAACATGGATCAGCTGCCTCCTGCACGCCCCCTACTGGGGACTGAGCCCGCAACCAAGGTACATGCCCTTGACCGAAATCAAACCTGGGACCCTTTAGTCTGTGGGCCAATGCTCTATCCACTGAGCCAAACCAGTTAGGGCTCAAATACACACTTTAGTGAACATAAAGGAGTTTTTCTTATTAGAACAACTTTGAACTTGGGCTGCCTCTAGCATATTCATCCAACTCTGTATCTACCTCTGGTAGTAAACAACAAAAGTTGACTATAAAATATCACTGTCATCAGTAGAAATAAGTAGTAGAAATATAATGCATCCAAGAGAGAGAGGGGGTTGATTAAATAATGCATGACACATGGGTAATCTGGGGGGCCTGTACATTCTAATTCACAGAGACATGGACTCACTACTGATACATAGAATTGGCTTAGTTCTATTTATGAAAGGTAAAACCTCTTCACCAAGTTTCCTCCAAAACCTCTCTAGTACTGGGAGTAAGGCAGGAATTCACCATAAAAACAAAACAAACAACTTTGCTTATGAAAAAGAAAATGGAAATCCACCAGGTTTCACACTCTAGGTTAGAAGCTTAATAATGAAGTTAAATAGGATACAGTCCCTACCTTCAAGGGACTCACTGTTTAGTACAATAGACAAATATTTAAAACAAAATATACATGTAACACATAGCCTGCCATCTACCACAAAAGCACTATGGGTGAGATCCACAGGTAACTGAAAGGAGGGATAAATCAACTGCTGTGGGGGAAGGGGGGGGGGAGGTTAGGAGCCAGGCAGGCCTGGCGAAACAGGTGACACTGGCTCGAGGTCTAGAAACAGAAATTCACTTGGTGGGCAAGGATGGGGCAGAGGAGAGTACAACAAGCAGACACAGCCATGAAAAGCCATCAATATGCACATGTGATAACTAAATGTGTGGCTACTGCATGTTGATTAAAAACAGATGTTTATGAAATTCAATATTATCATTTTCTTTTATTATAAAGCTCATATAAAAGTTCATGCTCCTTACAGAGATGCAAAATATGAGTCAATTTTTTTTCTATTAAAAGTATCATTTTTTCTCTTAAAAGCAATTATTTTGGAGGTACCTGCTGTGCTGTGTAATCCTCTGGGGTCCTGCAGAGTTAAAATTAATGAAGTTTACAGTCTCTGTAACTCCAGCTCCAAAGACGCACCTAGCATCTGCCAAAACCTGTGACTGTTTTACCAGACTGGAAAGAACAGTTGGCAGGACTAAACAACGCCTCGCTCTGAGGCAGAGTCGTGGGGACATGCCAGACACTGCGGTGAGCGCGAGGCACGTGGTGGAGAATGAGCCAGGTGGGGCCCTTCCTCCCGTAGCTCACAGCTCAGTGGGGAAAGACAGAATTGGGTTCAAACAGATTTTACTGATCATAGTTCAATATTTGCGATATTTAAATATCTTAAAACGAGGGAAAAACGAATGGTGTCCTGGAAAATGAAGTACAACCCAGTTGAAACTGTTGCTGAAAAATGATGTATTGTACAATTCAATTAGTCTTTCTGGCCCTATTGAGCAGTGTTTATACTGAGCCAGGGCCCTGCTGAATTAGGTTAACAATGCTACCTTTTAGTAGGTGAACAGAAGGACAAAGGGCACTGGCCAGTCTCCCAGGCCTTAAAAGGCTTCTCTCTTCAGGTGGCACTTAAGCTCGAAAGGAAAAAAAAAAAAGTCTTTTACAGAGACAGTAAAAGCAGTAAGACAAATGGGACAGCAGCTACTGACGTCAGCATTCATAAACTGAAATTACTAAAAACAAAAACAGAGCTAGTTTCAATCACGTCCGAGGCGCTGCTTCACGGGTTATTAACGAGTGTTAGGAATACAGAGCGTGTTGCGACCGCGGCTGCCGAGTGTGTGAACGGATCCCTGCAGGCTGAGCCGTGTTTGGCAGCCAGGCTGAGCACATGCTTGCTTTTGAGAATCCATCATTTACACTGGGGAGGAAATTTCTGAGAGGACTCCAAATTCAGCAGGAAATGCCGTTTTTGCAAAATAGAGCACTTTCCCCCCTAAGTTCTAAATGGGCCTGCATGCTGGTATGAGGGTTCCACTTTCAAACTCCACTGTAATTTAAAAGCTTTTTTAAAAAAGAAAATGTTTAAAAATATAGAGTTACTTAGGGAAGGAAGCCAATGACATTCTTAGGTGATAAAGTTTATGTGACGGAGTTTCTTTCTTGTTAATATAAATACTTCATGAGTTATGTGTGAATGCCGAATATACTTCACCTAAAAGCTACTGTCCTACTTCCTGCCAACCAAATTTGTGAAAAGTCAGAGTGAAAACTCAGCTTGCAAGTGCAGATGGATGAACCCGGTACTCTTTCTTTTTAAAAAAATGGTTTTACTTGGCATTCTTTCCATGACCCCATTCCATTCACATTAGAAACTATTTTTCAGGGTCAACAGTTCATTGACCTATTAGTATTTTACTAAATAATACTTAGTGTTTATTACTAACATAAATGAAATTTTTTCATAGCTCTTTTACCTTAGAACAAAATAGTTTAAGCCAGGGGTGGGAAACCTTTTCCTGCCAAGGATCATTTGAATATTTACAACATCATTCGCTTAATATAATTCACTTAATATAAACTTATGTTGCTATGAAAAAAGCTCCTAGATTTATTGAATTTTAAATAAAAATTCAATAAGCGGTTGCCTTGGCAGGGCCAGACCAAATGATTTCATAAGCTTTAGCAGGCCGCGGGCCGGACGTTCCCCACCCCTGGTTTAAGCTATAAGAACTCAAATCTGGGACTGTGCTGCAATCTGTGAGGGGGTTCTTTTTCCACAGCCCTGCATCTATGTGATCCAACTTATTTAGAGGTAATAAAGTGGGAAAGGACAGCACAGTGATGACAGATGTGACAGCCGACATCCTGGTCCTAAGGGAAGAAAGTCACCTGCAAGAAGATAGAAGGTAAAAGTATAGCACAGAACCCTGACTGAGGGCAATATCCATCGAACTCACAAATGTACATACCTATACCTAGGAAGTTATCTGCAGGGAGTCTCACTCATAAATGAAAGAACTTATATTCAAAAGGATGCATAGCCCTAACCGGTTTGGCTCAGTGGATAGAGCATCAGCCTGCGGACTCAAGGGTCCCAGGTTCGATTCCGGTCAAGGCCATGTACCTTGGTTGTGGGTACATCCCCAGTAGGGGGTGTGCAGGAGGTAGCTGATCAATGTTTCTCTCTCATTGATGTTTCTAACTCTCTATCCCTCTTCCTTCCTCTCTGTAAAAAATCAATAAAATATTTGAAAAAAAAAGAGGATGCATAAAGCTATTCATTGAATCACTATCTGTAACAGCAAAAGATGGGAAAAACCTAATGTCCATTAAAAAAAGTCAGGTTGGATAAATTGATGTGTGTAAAATTCATGATGGAATATGGAGTGGCTATAAAAAAAAACCCAGTGAAGAGTTTTATGATCTAAATCAGCGGTTCTCAACCTGTGGGTCGCGAGCCCTTTGGCGGTCGAACGACCCTTTCACAGGGGTCGCCTAAGACCATCGGAAAACACATAATTACATATTGTTTTTGTGATTAATCACTATGCTTTAATTATGTTCAATTTGTAACAATGAAAATACATCCTGCATATCAGATATTTATATTACGATTCATAACAGTAGCAAAATTAGTTATGGAGTAGCAACGAAAATAATTTTATGGTTGGGGGTCACCACAACACGAGGAACTGTATTAGAGGGTTGCGGCATTAGGAAGGTTGAGAACCACTGCTCTAAATGGAGAGCTCTCCCAAGAGCAGCTTGTGTACTATACTGCCCACTGCCATTTCTGTGTAAACACAGGTATGAGAAATGACCTCTGGAAGGATTCGTAAGAAAGGAGTAATTTGCTTGCTGGAGGGAGATTACACACACTTTCCTCTGTACTTTCTGAATCTTGAAATTTGTGAAAGTATATTCAAAAAAAGAATAAAGGTATAGCAGCACACGGCAATTTCTTTATGGAAAAACAGCCTCCCTCCCCACGTGGGAGTTTTCTATCACAGGACAGAACAATCATAATTCTTGTTCCGAGGCATTAAAAAGAATAAGCTTTGCCCTGGCCGGTTTGGCTCAGTGGATGGAGCATCGGCCTGCGGACTGAAGGGTCCCAGGTTTGATTCCGGTCAAGGGCATGTACCTTGGTTGCAGGCACATCCCCAGTCGGGGGTGTGCAGGAGGCAGCTGATCGATGTTTCTCTCTCATCGATGTTTCTAACTCTCTATCCCCTCTCCCTTCCTCTCTGTAAAAAATCAATAAAATATATTTTTAAAAAAATGTTTTAATTCATATTTTGTTAAAGTATATAGAGCTAAGTGACAATTTACAAAATAATAAAAATAATATAGTCACATTACTGAAAATTAGGAGAATAAAAAAAAGTTATCGCCTATAATTTTCCCACAAATAACCACTCACTGCTTTGGTATAAGGTTTTCTTCCCATCTCTGAAACATGATGATGAAAGCCTTCCTTATTGAAATCAATCCCAATCATAACACTTCTTGGTCCTGTTAAGACAGGCACTGTGGGCTAATGGAGGAGGAATCAGGAGATCTTAAGTTTAATTACAATTTGTTCTCAAAATCTCCTAATGACTCCAAACAAGTGGTTTTCCCCATCAGCGAACTACTCTCCAGCTCTGCGAGGGCAATAGAGCCTGCTCTGAATGCCTCTCAAAGTAACAGAGATAGGAAATGGTTTACGTAACATGGAAAACCCCTAGTGAAATGGAATGTGACTGTTCTGGCTAGGATACAAAAATATTTTTAAAAAGTACAACAGAGGGGAACTGTTAGGAAGAGTTGAGGCTAGATCTGAGTTCCTTACCGCCTCTTTGTCATGCTGGTATTTTTGAATGGGGGTGGTGGTGGAGGGAAGTTATAGTCAAAAGAGAATTTCATTAGAAAATTTGAGGATAGGGCTTAGCTGCAGGGTAATCCTGGAGCTCAACTCAATTTGCAGGATGTACACCAGAAAACAGATGAAATCCTGCTTTAAAAATAATTAGGATTATTATTTCTCCAGAGGGCAGACAAGGAAACGCTTAAGATGACAGACTTCATCCTGCTCTGCAAAACCCTTTTTTCACTGGCTTAAACGGCCAGTCAAGCCAGTCACGTACTAGCTATTAGAGAGAGCAGGCAGATCTCACAGAAAGATGTCTGGTTTGGGGGACTGATAGGTCTGAATTGATCCTCTCAATTAGGAATATTAAGTTAAATCTGCATCTGAGCAAAGATAGACACTGCACTAAATGGAATATAGTTACTAATGCCTGTGAGAGATGATCCAGATAAAATCGACCAGCTCTATTCTTGCTTTAAAATCTCCTGTTGCTCACTGACACCCCAAGAAGGAATGGTCTGACACAGAAGATCCTCCTCATGTGCCACATGGAAGAAGGGAGGGTGCCCGACATCTTCAATCAGTTACCTGTCCTCTCAAAATCAAACCGTCATTTGAATGACCACCATGGCAAATGACTGCTGCGTAGAGATTGCAGGTGTCAACGATGGCTAAATGGTTTTGGTAGCTTTCGCAGCTCACGGCAAACAACCCTGGATTTCCTCCTCCTCTCATATCTTCATAAACTATGCCTGAATTGCTCATTTTCCTCATTCGGTGGCACCTTTTCTGCTTTAGCTCGGCTGACTGGCATATATTCCGCTGGCAGGTGCCACAGCCTAAGCCCTCAATGATCACGGGGCTAGGACTGCCTCACTCACTTGCTTACACATCTCTGTTGGCTGTCAAATCCCTGCTCCAAGCAGATTAATCTAAACTGTCTAAACCAAATTCAACCAGTGTTCTTTCCTTCTAAGTTAAGTTTTTATCTAATACACACATGGCAAATATATTTATAGCCTATATGCAGAGTGTCAAGTACAAGATGCAGAGGAGCGAATGATAACTGTCTGGGAGAGGGGAAGGAAAGAACCAGGAGAGGAAATGAGGTTTAAGCTGGGTTTAGGATTTGCTGTGCTGAGTGAGGGCAAGAGGTGTGAAATGGCAGGGCTGGGGATAGGGAGGCGTGTGATCTTACTGAAGAGACTCGTGGAGGCAGGGAGGTAGTGGGCGAAGGGGCTAGAAAGGCAGGGACTAGAGGTCACAAAGGTCTCTATGTCAAGCTAAGAGATTTGTATTTACCTTACGTACAATCACGTAAAAGCTGCCATTAACTGGGCACTTACGTGCACCAGGCACTGCGCTAGGTGCTTTCTGTGAATCATTTAGTATTTAAGCAAAGAACAACCTTATGACATAGGTACGATTATTATTATCTCCACTCTGAATGTGAAGAAACTGAGGCTGCGGAGAGTACAAAATTGACCCAAGGTGAGATTAGGACTTTTTTTTGCAATATTGCTGGGGCAAGACTTGAAAGCAGAAAGCACAGCTAGGAAGTTACTGAATTCCATCACATGAGTGACGCTGAGGGTTTAAGTCAGTGTGGTCGAATGGTGGGTGCAGTGGAGAGCATGATCTCAAGAGTTACAATTCTGCACGTGATTTCTGTTAACTGATTAGGCAGGGCAGGGGTGGCAGAGGGGAGTCCAGTAGGTCTCCCAGCACTGGCAGTGGTGACTGGTGGAGCCGTGTGTACTTGGGGGGACATCTGGGAGGGTGATAAAGCCCACTTGGGGTGTACTGAGACTGAGGTGCCCACAGGACAGGCTAGTCAGACCAGGTAACAGACTTCTCTGCCATGTGGCAGGCACAGCACCATAGAAGAATCCTAAGCCTAAAGTGCCACCCCAGTGTGGGGCTGGATTCCTCGCCTTGCCGACTGCTAGTACCTGCTAGAAGGGTGGTCTATGGAAGGGTGGAGAAGCTGTACAATGTAGCTAACCAACCAGACAGCTCGAAGACAACTAGGTTTAAAACTAAAGCTGGGATGTCCATTAGGTAATTAATTCCACAGACCTCACTTTCAGTAGCAAACCTGGAGCTAAAAGTGGGAATCAGCATGTGAGTTCCGGTGGTTATGGCCACAGAAGGAAGAGAGATGACACAGCAGAGTAGAAAGTGGGAGAAGATCTTGTAGCTTTTATAAAACTACCTCAAGTTCGCTTCAAATGCTCATATCATTATCTTAATAATCCATGTGACAAGTTGCCGTCATGAAGTGCACGGAGTTTTTGCACCTACCTTGTATTTTGACGTATCCCAGTTGTGGACTACGCGTGCCGGGATGAGGAAACTGTCGTCCACGTGGCAGCTGCTGCAGTAATACCACCCGCTGTAATTACACACCTTGGCTTTCCCATTGGAAAGGCCTATGGATCGCTGGCATCCTGTTCAAAACAAAGCAAAGGTCTATGATTATTGTACTTTCAACAGCACAGGACAAGGCTACACAACGCTCACATCAAGTTAAAATTCCACAACAGGACAGAAGTTGCAGAGAATCCATGTATATGCATGTGTCCTTCTTTCCAGCCCAAGAGCTCCCTCCCCCTGCTCCTGGGGGAACCACTGAAACTGGTCTATTTCTGGTCTGTTCTGATTTCCAGCTCTTCAGCAGGTAAGCCTCCCTGCACCCCCACTTGTCTCTCCCTGCTTCACTCAGAGACCCTGTTTTCATGAGGCACTTTACTGGGGCTTCTCAAACAGGATCTTATACAAGCCACACTTCTCTATGAGAGAACTGTATCAGCTCTATTGCACAGATGAATAAACTAAGGTTTTAGCCAGGTTTGTATTTTGTCTTGAGGTCACCCAGCCAATAAGAGGTGGGGTTGGATTTGGCTCTATGCTTGTCTGACTCTAAAATGATCCTAAAAACTGATAGGTAGAGCCTTCCTTTGCTTCCAAAATAAATGAAAGGAATTTGTCCATTAACTGGCCTCCAACTCGCCTTTCCAACTACCTACTCTATTGCTTACTCTCCAGTGGGAATATAACCTCTTTATTCCAGTCAGAGAACTCTCCATACTGTTCCCCAAATAAACAGTGTGCTCTCTCCACCCTCCATATCTTGGTGCACATTATTTCTCCTTACACAAGGTCCTCTTCTCCGATCTCTACTTTGCCAAATCCTGCCGGTTACTCAAGGCCACTGGTTGCCTGTGAGTGATGGCTAAGGCCCTTTTTGTTTCCAAGGGAGTCCATGGTTCTGTGAGCACTGTCCTGGTAATAACCATGGCTCTGCCGCAGAGGAGCCATTGGTTTTTAGATGGAACCACCTTCTGCTGGTGAGTGTAGAGACACTGTCACAGTCAATCCAATGGACAAAATCCAGAACAGGTAGTCATGATTACATCAACAGCAGCAGTTTCCTGACAGTTTTTGATTTACAGCTTTCATTTTAGAACTCCTTCCATATGGCCCATTTCATGGTTGGGTGCTAAGAACTACGTTTTTCAAAGAAATCTCACATTAAGCCAATTTCATATATGGGTACAAAATAAAGTACTACTACTAATAATGATCAGTGTTGCACCCCATTTCCATTAGAAGGAGCTAAAACACATTTATTTAACAAATCCCCAACTAAAGAAGATACTGATTCAACACGAAGAGCCTGAATAAAAGGATCACAAAGCTCACAGAGCTTTCACTGTCATCACAAATAAAATAGCATGAGTAATTAAGCCGTTTCATAGTGCATGGGCCAGAAAGAATGAGATCCTACTGCTTTTAAATAGGGGAGGTATGAAAGACAGAAGTAAATGTGTTGGTGTTAGGCTTCAAGAGCTCAATACTACTCTTCCTTCCTAGAACAGCAACAAAATCCAAGCTCCTGAGGAATGAGGTATGTGTGAAAGATAAGGAAGAACCCAACACACATGGTGCTTCTGTCGGGTGCGCGGGAGGTGCCGTCACAATCACTAGCTCTGAACGCTGGAATGCTGTCTGTTGCACTCCCTGACCGCACTGCCTTCAGCTTGGTGGCCTCTCTATGTGCCGGGACAGCCAGAACCACACTGCAAACTTCTCAGATCTATTTTTTATCCTCAGCACTTAACACAAGGCTTTGCACAAGCAGACCATCAATACATGTTTATGTGGAAGGGATGAGAAACGGAATATCATTTAGCATATGTACAGCCACATGCTTACATAGAGATTTAAATTTCCCATGGCTGTTCTAGATTTGATCCGCTACCCTGGATCTGCCTCTTGACACAGCCTACTTTTGTTCATTTCCCTATGAAAATACGTTGCCTATTCTAAGAATTCTACATTTCACACGTACTCTTATGTGAACTATGGGACAGAGTTAAGTGGACTGTGACATATTCTAGACACTGGGATATTGCAGTTTCCAAAAATAGGCAGTCAACTGACTTAATGCTGAAGTGAGGCTGAATGGAACTCAGCCTTCCCTGATGACTTAGAAAGTGATCCTGATCTTGTAGAAATTCAGGATCATCATCATAGTTGAAACTCTCACCACAGAATACTGTAAAAACAAATTTAGGTTATTTTATCTTTTCTGGTTATTTGAATATAATAAACATCAGTAAGCATTTTCTGGATATTCATATATGCTTCAGTAGGTACTACTGGGTTTTTCAGTCTGTACTTTTTAATGACTTTATTATAATTTTCTAGATGGAACATCTGTAGGCAATATTAGAACACACAATGCACTTTAAGAAAGCATATAGCCTAAAGATGTGTATCTCAACCAGGCACACGTATCCAATGCCTAATGTGCTGGGGCGCAACTATATGAGCTAACAAATGAGCTAAACATCCTTACCTATTTGCATAGGTCTCCAGGCTCATAGAAAAGAGAACAGACGACACGGCTCAGGTTCCTTCAGGTTTTAGTTTAGACCAGTGGTCGGCAAACTGCAGCTCGCGAGCCACATGCAGCTCTTTGGCCCCTTGAGTGTGGCTCTTACACAAAATACCACGTGCGGGCGCGCATATACAGTGCGATTGAAACTTCATGGCCCATGTGCAGAAGTCGGTATTTTGTGGAAGAGCCAGACTCAAGGGGCCAAAGAGCCGCATGTGGCTCGTGAGCTGCAATTTGCAGACCACTGGTTTAGACAGAGGCCCCAGCACAAAACCTCCGACCTCTAGGCCTTGGGTGTCTTTACCTTTATACCCTATTGAGAACCATTCTCTCCAAATCTCGGTGATGAAATCACCCCTAGTAACAGAAGTAGGTTTCAACCTACCCTAACAGTCCTGCTTAGGTCTGTTTTGGATACCTGGTGCAGAGACAGCACAAGTCTAGAGTCAGGAAGCTTGTTCTTGCCTCGGGTACAATGGGCGTCTGACCCATCAACTCTCTGGGCCTGCTTTCCTCACTGCAGATTCAATGGGTTAGCCTAAATCGGCAGTTTGCCAAATTTGCTGAGCGTCAGAATTTTCTAGAAATGTTTGTGAAAAGCGTGGATCCCACCCCAGACATTGTGATTCTGTAGACTGGAGTCGGGCCCAGGAACTTGCATTTCTACCCAACCACACCCAGGAGCTGAGGTGGTAAAAACTGAGCATTGCTCCCTGGTCTCGAGGTGGCTGCCAAAGCCCTCCAAGCTCTAGAGTTCTCATTTGATTCAAGGAAAGTGCACTTTATCAGTGAAAAGCTCATAATCTGTCACACAGTTTACTTTCTAGGCTTCCAAAATCAACATTTCAGGTTCTCAGTCTATTTCCAAAAATTTGCTGCATAGGAAAAACCCGAGTTCACTACACTCATGTTTTTCCAGAGCATCCATTGTCCCCACTGAGAAGAATCTTAGTTGACTTAGAAAGAATTAAAACTTTCCATCTTCAAGTCCAATGAAAGAACACAGGATCGTCGGGAAAGATTAGAAGCGAGTTGGTAGCCTGATGCAGATTCATTTTCTAAAACCAACACACACCATTTATTTGAAGAAGGAAACAACCATTCTTTCAATTAACTACAAGATTTCCTTCTTCAATATACTAGCAAATCATAGACTAAAAATGTCTCAAACAATTCCTTATAAACATACAGAATCTGGGATTCCACTATCATTATAAAGTTTTCCACAGAGGGGAAAAATGTGTTTTCTCAAATAATTACTGTTAGGAAAACACATTTTTTGGAGGGTGCCAAAGGTGGACTCTGACAAGCAACATTATGGGGAGAAAAAGAGAGCTGGGAAGCAGAAACAAAAAATAATTAATTGAAATAACTAATTAGAGCTCATTTACATATTATATTTGTATGGACTTTCAAATAGACTTTTCAGCAATGTTTCTAAATTAAAGGGCATTTATAGTGGGGAACACTCCACATGTTGGATCAAAGCAAATACATTCTTCCCAGTCTCTTTTTGAAACTTTTCAGAGTGTATTCAATTCATAGGAACAAAAAACGATCTCACAAGAGAACCCACTGGCCTTTTTTTTTTTTATTGCTTCCCACCCCACTTCAAATCTTTAATGAACACATGCTCTGAAGAGTTTAGCTTCCCCCTGATACACTTTGGGAAACAAATGTAACCATTTAACCGAAATCCTATTTGCTGCATTAAGTCCATTTCCCAAATGGCCTTTTAAGACACCCCAAAGAATCTGTTGCTGGGGGCTGAAGCAGAAATTTTGGCATAACGTTCCACAGAGGCACAATCTTTCTTCTTACAAGTGTACCCAGCTAGCTCAATTGGCGGCAGCGTGGTGTTACCGAGCTGAGCTCTGAGGAGGAGCCAGCCAGCTTTTCTCTATTGCACGGCTACCAGCTCAGTCCTGCAGCCCCTGACCAGCAGTTGGAAAATTGATGGGCATAAGAGAAAAGTAGCAAGGGCTCCGGCTGGACCCAGGTGAGTCTCTCACTGAGGAAAGAACACACACAGCCATGCTACCTACCCCCTCTACCCTGCTTGGTAAGGTAAAGGCAGTATTTTGTATTTGGACGGTAGACAGCTTTAAGAAGAGAACAGGGACAAAGAGAAGAAAAAAAAAAAAAAGGAGAAGGCACCTCTATAAAAGGGAGGGGGTAAAATAAAGAGAGTGCGAGGACAAATTTCCATTTACTCCGTTAAAATAGAAAACATAAGACTGGCAAGTTGCTTACCCCCTTTCACTGTAGGCACACGGGGCAGAGAGAGGCGGCCCCAGGAGGGGGAGAGGGACTGCCCTGCCCATCCCTCCTCGGTTCTGTCCAGGGTCCGGGCATGGGACAGTGAGCTGTGGTAAGCGTTGTGCAAAATGTGGCTTGACCATATGCTTTAGAGACCAGAATTGCCAAAAAGAAAAAAAACAGAAATGGGGGTTCAATGACTTGCTATTTTACAAGAATTGTGGGGGAGGGAGGGGACAGAATCACAAAGAACTTAGCTTTCCTAGCTTCCAGTCTGTAACCATA